CCTAGTTTTAAGATTTTGATAACGCTATGAAACTCTGTTTTAAGTCTGAAATATATATAACCTATACAGGGTGTTCCATTTAAAAAAGTCGAAGTTGTCTACGTTTCTCCATTTTCCGATGCGATTTTGTTTTTTCTGATATCGTTATTAGAAAATATAGAAAAAAACTGTCAAGTTGTATTTACAATTTTTTTCTATCTTAAATAGTAAAGGCTGTAGGTATGATGCCAAATATAATCAAATACCCTGTACGTCGCCTTATTGTTTTTTTTTGGTCAGGATTTTCGACATTACATTTTGATAATAAAGTTCATTGAGAAAATTAAACAAAGCTAAGACATACAGGGTGGGCCAGTGAAACGAAACAAGGTCGATATTTCGTACCTATTCATTGTTCAATGAAAAAAATTGCTCGGACCCGTCGATTTTTATTCGGAGGGGGAAATTTTTTGCACATATTTTCAATGTTGTTACTTCAACCCTCTTGCGGGGGTAAGCTACAACCCTTAAATCTTAAAATGGCAGTAGGGGTCAAAATAGACAAAACTCTAGTATTGTTTTAGTCATTTTGAGCACTATCAATTTTGTAGTTATAACAATTTTCACTTAAGAAGTGATTTTATGTGTTTTTTTTTCTAAAGTTGTGTGCTATCCAACTTGAAATCACAAGGTTAAAGTCTAGTTTTTTTTCATCGCTCAATAAAATTCAACTAAATTATATTCTAATTTTAAATATCTTTGGAAAAAAAAAATCAATAAATTCAAAAACTAGGCACCGTTGAAAAGAGAATTCGATGCCCTTTGAAATGAGGTATCGCTTGACCCCTACTGTCATTTGAGATTTTTTTCAATGAACGATGAATACGAGATATCGACCTTGTTTCCTTTTCACTGGCCCACCTTGTATGTTTAAAAAACCAATCTGATTGTTTTTTTTTTTTGAAGACCCGATATAATAAGTGTGATTCATTTTAAGTCTTGAACATATTAAACAGTGATTTTTTAAATACTTTTAGGAGTTCTGAGGATGATTTCATAGACAATAGACATCGATGACCTATATCTAACTAACTAGAATATTGAATATGACAATGAAAAATGTTTTCTTTAGGCCTGCACCAGTTTTTGAATTAAATTTTGTTGATTATATGGGTCTCTGTATTCAATTCCTACAGCTGAGTCAATTCCTATAGCTGAGTCAATCTGGGGGGTCAGGGTGCAACAAATTAGCAACAAGCTGATTCCAGCGGGAATGTTTAGTAAGTGACCTCTTATTTAACCTCCTAAAAGTCCCATTCAGTCTTAGGGGTAGAAGGTTGCAAAAAATGGCCGCCATCTTGGATTTTTTTGATTTTTTTCAAATATCTGTTTCTATTAGTTTTTTCAAGAAAACTCAAGAAACCTTTTTTGTAAAGAATTTAATTCTCTATAAAAAGTGTCTGTACTTTTTTTTTGTAACATAAAGGATAACGGAGATACAGAGCTTTTTATATTAAATATTTCAAACATTTCTTTACTTTTATCCCTTTCGAAATGTTTAGAAAAAGTCTAAGGTTGAATAGAGAACGAAAACGATTTCCCCTGTTCCACCTCCAGTAAAAAGCGCTGGGAATGCTAGAGGTGGAACAGAGGAAATCATTTTCGTTCTCTATTCAACCTTAGACTTTCTCTAGACATTTTATTTTATCGCATTAAAATTGATATGCAAGATGTTTACTTGCCAGGCGTGTATAGGACTTTGACATGAATGCAACAAGTTCCTTATAAGAATCCAGAATGGCTTTGCAGGTGCCTTCCAGCCCATTCCGTTTTTAATACCATCTATAGTGAGCTGGCCAATAGTTGTACTCCTTTCAAGCGTTTGAAACACTCGAGCTACTCGCTCCGGTGTTCAGTCGTCCCCGATTTGCAGATAAACAGATGCGTGGTGCAACAAACACTTTTCGAAAGGAATAAGCGCGTGAAGCCCCGGAGCTCCTCCTAGGTGTGAAAGGAATACAACTAATGGCAGGAATAGGAGAAAACCCTCTATCTAATTTTGCTACGTCATCCTCGATAACACACAATTCTGATTGGATAGCACAACTCCTTTGGTTGGTTTTGAGCTTTTCCATCTCTGCTTCGAATGCGTGAAAGTCTTGAGCTCAACCCCGGCAGTGCTTGGAAACAGCACTCCATACAGCTTGGGACAATAATATCTTAAGGCAGCGTTCTTTCACTTTGAGAACTCGGATCTCAGAGCTCCTTACTCCAAAGCAATTTCTGCATAGAATCTTGCAGCAAATGTCACATGGTTAGCCAAAAAGCTAATCTTTGTCCTCCTTTTGGAAGCAGGCCTTATCACAGGTAGATCCATATCAGGATTGATTATGGTAGGAATAAAATTTAATAGAGAATGTTTATTTGGCTTAGGACCGGTTTATTCATCTTCACATAAACTTGCTGGTAACTATCTGCAAGATAAATTTATTATTCTATTATTCTATTGGTTGGCGGATAACTGGCCGACCAATGAGATTGCAAATTTTTGTGCTGCTGATAAGTAATACAATTTATCTTTTTTTTCTATTCCTATTTGAATCCCAGTAATTAAACTGGATTTGTTGGCTCACCAAGAATGAAGTCTAGAAAAAAATTTACAAGGTTGAAAAGATCAAAATTTCACAAACAAAATGACTCCACACACGATCAATATGACCAATAGAGACCCTAAAAAGTTGCAATTTATACGGAGCGAATATACTACTTACTTTGGTGTATCACTTTTTTGGATCTTCAACAAAAGTGAAAAATTTATAAATCAAATTCTAAAAAAAAACAATATCTCTGTTATCCTTCATGTTACAAAAAAAACGTAGAGACACTTTTTATAGAAAATCAAATTCTCCACAAAAAAGGTTTCTTGAGTTTTCTTGAAAAAACTAATAGAAACTGAGATATTTGACAAAAACAAAAAATCCAATATGGCAGCCATTTTTTTGCAACCTTCCACCCCTAGGACTGAATGGGACTTTTGGGAGGTTAAATAGGAGGTCGGTTACTAAACATTTCCGCTGAAATCAGCTTGTTGCTAATTTGTTGCACCCCCACCTATGTTATGCAGCTACGTTTATCCTACTATTATACCAGACCAAGTTTTTAAGTTGTATAATAAAATTTTAAGACCAAAAATATCTCACTAAAAATTGTCTCAATATTAATTTTTTTCGTTGTTTTAGGCCGCAGGATGAACAAGACGATTTCGACTTTATGGACGAAATGGCCTCCCCAAAGTTAAAAATACGCCACAAAGGTGGTGAAAGCTTAAAGGGAAGTGCCAAAAAGAAAACGACCTCTTTGGATGGAGTATTGAACAACATGAGAAGACATCATTTGTTGCCCTCTTCAGCAAAATAAATAAAACACTAATTAATTTATGTACATTTATTAAGGTTTTGTCATGCTAGAAACAGTGTTTTTTTTTACGTCAAAGATTACTAAAATTGTATTTATCACAGAATCAGTGAACACCACTCTCACCTACTTAAAATTAAAACACCCGTAAAGTAACATAAAACAGTTTTTTTTTTCAAGAAAAAAATTTAACATTAAATTCGGTTTTTATCAACTCTCACTCTCTTTCTCTTATGCACATTCAACGAACATTTTAATTTTTGCCAAACTAAACATTTCAATAATATAATTATTGAATAATACTATAAAAAAATAATAATAGTACATAATTATAAACATAAGTAAAAATTTTGCACTTTTCCATATTTTTTTTTTGTTGCTTTTTCATTCTTTTCATCACAGCGCGTCTATTTTATGCATTTTTTTTTTAACTTAAGAATAAATAAGTTATTTACAATTATGTATTATGCAATACAATTTACAAATAAAAGAAAAATAATTGCAATGCTTCTTATTTCGTTTATAAGTTTGTATTTTTTTGTAATACAGTTTCAATAAACACAGATTGCAACTATTTTCCTGTGTATAATTCGTTAGATCCTACCTAATCAAGAAAATTGAAATTTGATATCCTAACTAATTAATGCGATTTTTAAACCATATCTGAGGAACTTAAGAAAAATATCACCCTAAAAAATGCAAAAAAAAAAAAAATTCAGTTGAAATGCAATTGGGTGATATTTTTTTCATATCAATCTTTGCCAAGTCAAGAATAAAAATCTCAATAAACAAAAACAAAAATAAATGCTTTAGTTGACAAGTTTTGTAGAATTTGAACACAGTGAATTTTGAGCATTAGATTAATAGTGAATCAATCATTTAATTTTTAATGAATTTCAGCTAAATATGAAGGCTTATTTTCCTATGGCAAAGCAAAAACAATATTTTTCTCTATTGTTATTTTTATTAAATTTATGTATTTGTGTGTGTGTGTTGTAAACGACTAGTTTTGAGTTTATATTGATTTAGGAATTTGAAACCCAAACAGCTAAATTTTTAAATTAATAATCTCAATAATTTAAAAATATTATCTAAGTAACAAATATCTAGGTGCAATTTATCATTTAAATTTGCAATTTTAGTATTCAAGTTAACTATAAAAAAAATTTGTTTTTTTTTTTTCCGAAATAAAATTATAATTTTCATTTGTATTAAAATTAGGCATTTCTGACCCTTTTCTAACCAAAATTCTTTTTTTTTCCCCTTTCACATTAAGTCCGTAGCATGGTTCTTGAGCTACGACTACTGAATAGACGGATGGAACAATGGGCTATTGCTGCATTGTCATATCAATAATATTTATTAATACATGAAAATGAAGGAAATTTTATTGCAATTTTCATGTATAAATAAATATTATTGATATGACAACGCAGCAATAGCCCATTGTCCCCTCTGTCTATTCAGTAGTCGTAGCTCAAGACCCATGCCACGGACTTTAGGTAGGTAATTTTTTGCCTCTAAAGAACTACAACCTTCAAAGTGATGATTATTTGATGTTAAAAAAAATCACAAATTCCCCTCGTACATAATCAAATAGCGGATATTTATGACAAAATCGATTTAACATGTTGCCAAATCGAAGCCGCCTCATCCATATCGGCGTATCTATTATCAGGTACAATCGCGTCATCAGCTTGATACTCTGTTGTCGCTTTTTTTGGGCGTAGCTTCAAATCCATGGCAAGATTTTCCAAACTGTCAGACTTTTTCGATTCAGGTGCGTTTATGGCCGAAGATTGTTCAACATCTGTTGATAGTGAAGTTGGTGACTGCTTTCTGGCTGAAACAAAGAAAATTATAAGTTCAAAAACATTTGAGTAGAATATTAAAATTATGAATAATATTGAGCATCACTTTATCATTACAATACGTATAGATTTTATAAACGTTTATGCTAAAAAAAAAATCATCAACCTTTTTTTTTTAAATACTTCATTCATGATGTTTGAACATGAATGGAACAAGGGCACTAGAGTGAAAAATTTAATTAGCAACAAATTTTATCTATTTACTGTTTTTAGAATTACATATTAAATATATGGCCTGCCAATCAAGGTTGTAGATAAAATATTATACACAATACATGCTCTTCAACGCATACAAAACTCTTGAATGCTGTAACATATCCTATCACTTGAGTGAAATATAAAATCGTATCTACAATTGATTCATTTCAAAAACTAAATTGATTGAGTGTTATCTATTTGTCTGGAATACAACTTTATTATTATTCAATTTTTGTATTTGAAATGTTGCAGACAATATTTTGTACAAAATTATTATGCTTTTTACTGCATATGTAGATTGTCACATCTTATCCACAACTGTGAATTGTGAGAGTAAAAATTCTAAAATATTAATATGTACTACATTTTTTTCCAGTTTTCTTCATTATTTTTTGTTTTGTTTGTTTCTCGAAAAAATCCTCCCAAAAAAATATTTTTATTGTTGTCAGATGTCTTCTCGTCGAACACACGAAGTATAATATAAAACATCTATTCGACGACCGTAAGTCAAAGTTGAGACCAATAAAAAATGAGAATGAAGAAAAGAAAATGAAAAAAAAAATACAGTAAACCTATAATTATCAAATCTATCAACATCAAAACAACAAAACAAAGACTTAAACAGTATCGGCCAGGAGAAACTATGAACACAATCTATTAGCGAACATTACACAAAAGCTGTTCGCTAAACTCAAAGCATGCCAGCTTTAATCTAATAGATCCGCAACACCGCTCAAAACTGACTAGAAAATTGCATTGGGAGTGTTTTACTATTGGGTGCAAACAAACAAAACTAAATACCTACACAATAACTGAGATAAATCACATTGAATTTACACTGGGAAAAGTAGAAACTGCCATAACATCATTAAAATCCAACTCAAGTCATGGAATGGATGAAATTCCTTTCATTTTTCTTAAAAACTGTGTGCAAGTTCTTAAAGCTACCCTAGCGAATGTGTTAAACATCTTACTGACAACTGGGGAATTTCCAGAAGCCTGGAAGAAAGCCATTGTCCATTGCCACGCCAATATTTGAAGGAAAAAAAAAAAATAACAGCAGAAATCTATAGGCCAATTAGTTTAACCAACATAAGTGCATGGACAAAATCATAGCAAAAGAACTTACATCTGCCTTTTTGGAAACAAGGATCATTCTTTCACAGCAGCATGGGTCTCTTTCGAAGAAATACACATTCATTAACCTTCTAACCAGTCTCAACGACTGATGACTAGCTGATGATAACCAGGAGCGAATAGACGTGGTCTACTTTGACTTCGAAAAAGCGTTTGACAAAATACCAATCAAATATATAAACAAAATTCAACATTTTGGAGTCAGGGGTGATTTGATATAGCTAATATTGGAAAGTTTTTTGTCTGGTCGTACTTTCGAGGTACGAATTGGTACTAGCCTGTCGCAGGAGCATTTAGGTGCACAGCGGAGTTGCCCAAGGCTCAGTTCTCGGTCCCCTCTTATTTATAACGCACTTGAACGATCTGTACCAGGGATTTACAACAAAAAATGCATCTTTTGCGGATTATGGTAACTTGTATTGTAATCCTCTATTACAACGTAATAATCTACAGCAAGATCTGATCAGAATAAAAGAATGGACAACAAAGTGGGGAATGCCACTCAATAATTCCAAATGTACTATACTACAAAAAGGTCAGAATAACCCACATTATAGCTATTTTCAACAACAAACACCAATAGCAACTCTTGCAAAACAGGAAGACTTTGGAATCACAGTGATGGCGGACCTAAAATGGGGACTCATATTAGTCATATTACTGATGTAACAAAAAAGAGGCAAATTCAATGACATATCTCATCCAAACAGCATTCAAAGACCCCTCTAAAGAGATGATTCTGAAATTGTGTAAGTCCTACATTCAAGCAAAACTTGAGTACGCCCAATTAATCTGGAACCCTTACTATGTGAAGGACATTGAAGAACTCGAGCTGCTTCAACGACAGATTACTAACTTCGTAGTGAACTTAAAGTGTTGCCATATGAAATCAGACTGACTCAATTAAACCTGACCAAACTAGAGGAGATCTTATCGAGACATTCAAAATTTTCAATGGATACTATGCCTGCAACTTAACCAATATATACCAAATCAACATTAATCAGAATTTAAGAGGTCAAAACCAAAAGTAATCTAAAAAAGTGCAATAAAATGCCTAGACAAAACTTCTTGTCCAACCGTGTAGTGTATCATTGGAACTCTTTGAGTAGCGACACCGTAAACTCAATAACCAAGAACCAATTCAAAAATCGCCTTGAGAAAGATATCGAAGACTGGAACAGTTACTCTGCATGAACAATCAAAATGTAATTATTGAAAATACTAAACAGTGACACACATAGTACAACAGACTCAATAGTCTCATCGGATTTAAAATCCCGCCTACTACTGATTTTTCTTTGAGGAAAAGGATGAGATAAATTGTAAATGAATAGAGAATGGATTGAAATTTAGAGAAAACTACTGGCATGCCTCTAACGAACCTTCCATATCAATGGACACTTCTTAAAGGCAGAAGCCAGTAAAACAGAAGAAAGGAGAATTCCAAAGCACACGAATTCAAACATTTAATGAATGAACTCTCAGTATGAGCTTAGAAGAACTCCCCAACACCATTGAGACAGGAGGAACTAAAGGCAGCCTCACATAGTCTAATCGATGCGATAAAAAAGTCCTTTGAGCTGTCCCAAAAAACAAAAGGAAGTCCGTAGGGGCGTGCCTGGGTGGAACCAGGAATTAAGCCGCCTGCAAGCAAAGGCCAGAAAGTGGTTCAATCTAAAACTACTGGAGATTGGGAACACTACAGCTTTGCCCTAACAGAGCAGAGCCCAGAGATAAAGCCTTCAAAAAATGCAAAAGAAGAACCTGAAAACAGTTCTGTGAAGGGATAAATGAATTAGACCCAGTACAGCGTCTACAACAAGTCCTGTCAAAAAACTACTCGAACGGCATTAGCCCTCTAAGAGAACCAAACGGAGAGTACTGTCACAAAAAAAGTCTAGAGGTCTTACTGAACTCACTCTCTAGTCAGAAGCTTGGCAGGGAAAATGTTCACGCAAAACAGAATAAAGTGGACGATAATAGACAGCTTTAGGCTGTATAAATCTCAAGGTATCTTTCCAACCATGCAGGCAAATCCGCTACAAGTGCCCTCCATTGTCTAGTAACAGGCATAGAAAAGGCAGTTGAGGCAAAATAAATCTCTCTTGCAGCTTTTATAGATATAGGGTGCTTTTGATAACACCTTACACTGGTCACTGATCTATCAAAAAAGTTATTGAGGATAACAGGGTAGAAGCTCCCATGTTGGGATGGAGAATAAGTATTTATATGTCACCACCGTTAATGGCGGCTCAGAATGTAGTGTCCTTTCGCCTCTTCTGTGGACACTAGTAGTAGGCAACTTCCTTACCAGACTAAGCAACGTTAGAATAACTGTACTAGGCTATGCAGATGATCTGACGTTACTAATCAGCGGCAAGCATGAATACATAATAACAGTTCGCATGCAAAGTGCCTTGAATATAATAAAAAACTGGAACGAGGAAAAAGGACTTTCCATAAACCCCCCCCCCCCCCCCCCCCAGCACAATGATTCGTTTACGAAAAGAAGGAAGCTGGATCTGCGAACCCCCACTCTAAACCATAAACAATAATTATCTCAGATGAAGTTGAGAAAAAAAAAAAAAACATACGACGACGTTTATATTATCTTTTTTTTAATCAGAGAAATTAAAGAACAAGCAATTTGCATACTGATAGTACTAGCAGTAACCAGTGCAGTAACTAACGTTATTTTATGAAAACGAATCAAATATTCCAAAACAATGAGTACGGTTAAACAAAACTTCTAGCCGTTATAAGTCAGAAAATAATAAGACAAAAATGAGTTTAACATGGGCCAAATGCAAGGAAAAATGCATGACAAAGGAGTAAAGATAGAAACGTTCCCAAACTACACTTTGCAGCACCATGTGATACATGCAGAATTGTATCATGCGAGAAATGGTCACCTACCGAAATCCGGTTCATCGAACTTGAACGAGTGATATCTTACTTCTGCACCTCCTGTGTAGAGTCTCTGAGTGCCGGTTTCTCAATAGCCAATCACCCCGGTGTTGGTTTCAGTTCCAAATTGCAAAGTTTACCCTGGAGTTAACGTGACCCGCAGGTGACCTGCTATTGAGAAGCCGGCCCTTAGAGAGTTTCCGAACTTTAAAAAAGAAGCTGGCTCAGAAATAAAAACGATAAAATCGAAAGTGACTACATTAGAAGTTCTCGTAAATGACCTACGACGACCGTTAAAAGAACAACTGCCAGAAAAAATAAAAAAGTTGGATTTTCTGCAACAAACTTAAAAAGACATAGAAAACCTAAAACAGAAAAACTAAAACCTATGCCGAAATAACAGCTCTGAAACAAAAAGTAAAGGTCGGAAACATCAAACGGATTTAAAGGGAGCAACCCCACAGTTGAATCAACAATCTCTGAAATTCTAGAGCGAGAAAATAATAGCAAATAATGTTATGCTTTTTGGGGTCCAAGAGGTCACTGAGGAAGACTATAGAGAGCGAGACAAAAAGAAACTGACAGTTGTCGAAGGCATCTTAAAAAAAACAATCCGAATATTGATAAAGACAACATTAAAGTTTTAAGACTAGGGAGACATGACCCAAATAAAATCAGACCCATTTAAATTACTCTGAGCACAAAATATAAAGTGCAAAACATTCGAAATAAAGCAAAGATCCAAGTTGGAAGGGACGAACGAACCACTATCTCAAACCAGATCAAAATACTGCCCAAAGAAACCATGTAATGGCACTAGCAAAACGAAAACTTAATAAACCCAATTAACTATTTTAAACAAGATTTAAAATAGCTATGTTGCCACTGGTTTAGAGTAGAAGCGGCAACACCGCATAAACAAAAATATTTTTAAAGTGTAGATTATGGTCGTTTATCCTGGTTGCTAAATTTTCAAAATGATCCGCCTTTTAGTTTTCCATAAACGTCCAATACGCCATCCACCGTGGGACACCCCGTATATTGTTTTTATTTAATCAACCAAAGTTAAATTACGAAATTTTACCAGCAGATAGAAAAACAAAAACTAATTTTTCAGTATCACCCTGTATCGCTACAAGGTCGGCGCAATGAAAGAAAATGCTTATTTTGAGTTCTTAAATAATATACTGAAGTTTCAACAATATCTGTCGGTGACCGAAATTCATTAGAAGTGTGAGATGTTCTTTGGAGTATTTCGATAATTTATTTAAATATGAACAAGGGTTCAGAAAATTATGAAATTTTGCATAACTGCTAAACTCAACACGCTCTTTTAGAATATGTTATAAAAAAAATATGCTGTACGAGCCTATTATCCTTAATTTGAGCCTAATTACGTTAAAATCGCATTGAAATTAACAGTTGTGAGGCGAAATGTGTGTTAATTATGTTATTTTGGAAAATATCTTTCCACAAAATGATATTCAGGGATATTCCAATTATTTTAAGGAAAATGGTATTAAAATTTACTAAGTGGATAAAAAAATGAATTGATTTTAATAAGAATATAACATAAAAATTTCCTTCTGTTTCTTTATCTTTATAAAAATGGAAGTTGAAAGACTTTATAGTGATTTTATTTTTTGAGATTTTTCTTTGGGAAAATAATAAAAAGCTTGGAGTGAAATTTTGCAAGTGAATAGAGGAAAGAGAAAAGATTGAAATTTAGGAAAAAATAAAAACAAAAACTTCATTCTGTTCCGTTTAATTTGAGAAAAGTTCAGCTGCATTGAAACTATTTAGTAGAGATTTGTAGAGTATTTAATTTGTCCTAGTCCTAATGTGAGTCCAATTACGTTAAAATCTAAATTAAGTCAGGCCGATTGTGTGACGATGTCATATTAGAAAAAATCAAATTAAACACAATCAAATTAAACAAAATCAAATCCACAACCAATGAACAGGACAGAATTTTAAAAACCAATTTGGATTTAATGTACGATTAGATAGATTTGATAGTACTGTATATACTAGAATGTTTTTTGAAATTTCTCCAACTACATAAAGATTCAACTCAAATTGAAAACATAACTTGCCTAAGTATTTCGCAATTTTTTTTTAAGGCTTACGAACCGAAAAGTATACTCCAAACAAAATAAGTTTACACAAATTAACTCACCAAAATATAAAGAAGGCTCGCTACAAGCAAATGGAGGTCAGGCACAATCGCCGTTGGTGTTGGCCTCTCCACTAGCTGTACTAACAGAAGGCGGACGCCTGGGCGGATGCGAACCTCCACCACCCGACTGGTTATGACTGCTCGGCGTTCTACGTTCATTACTTTCAGATTCCCTTTGAGGAGGTGGCGTCGGTTTCGGAGTAGGAGGTTTCGTAGAATGACCGTGATGATTGCTTGAACTATGCGCCGGAGGCGGCTGCTGAATATTATTTATCATCGGTCCTGAAGGTTGGATAATCGTAGGCGACTGTCTAGGAGGTGCCGAAAGGTTGAGCGTTGCGTAAGAAGGCATTGGCGAGTGTCTTTGTAGCGATGGCGACGATCTTGGTACTTGTGAATATCCTTGAGGCGCTCCGCTCATGTAGCCTGCGGCTCCTAAAGGTGAATGCCTGGCAGTGGGTGGGGCTAATCCCATTGAAGGCGGCAACATTCCCACGGCTCCTGAAGGATGCATCACCGGCAACCCTAACAAATGAGGGGCTCCGTGTGGGGATACCCTTCGAGCTGCTTCTGCGGCTTTTTCTCTTGCCATTCTTTCTTTTTCCCGTTCTCTTTCTAGAAGTTCTCTTTCCAATTCGGCGTCTTTGGAACGTGCTGCCGCAGCTACTGCAAGACGTTGCCGATGTTCTTCTTCTAATTTCATTCTACATGAAAACAACATTATTATTGAAAACTATAGTGAGATAAATGAGGTGATGAATTTCTTATAGAGATGGGAGAAGAAAAAAAAGAGTATAAAAAAAAACAGTGACTTAAAATCACTGTAAATACACTGGTATTTGAGTTTATGTATACAGGGTTTTTGGTTATATGTATTTAAAACGGTACCAAGAGATTTTATTTTGAAGATTGAAAAAAAAAAATTAATACAAAAGTTTCATGATTTTGTCTGAACCCCCTAAAGTTTATAAATAAAAATAACAAAAGACGATATCTACTGAGACAAATTGACTACAACTTTGTTATTTTTAATAGAATTTGATGTTGATATTTGTTAGACATAAACTGCTCGCCAAAAAAAAACGGAACAACCAATTTTTAGCACTATATTCAATTTGTAATAACTTTTTTATTTTATTTTTGTTTTTAATGCGGTTTGTGGTATTCGATAGTCCATGTTGTAGACCACGTGGGACAAGAATATTTTTTTCGAAGAAATGCATTTTTGAAGTTATACAGGGTGAATAATAGATTGAAAAAAATTGAAAAATACAAAAAGTATGGATGTCTGCCATATTGACAATAATTTTTTTTTCGGATTTCTGTATGGGCTTTTAGTAAGTTGACATCAATATACAATACAATACAATACAATACAATACAAGATGTCTTTATTCATTATTTCAAACAATTTTGCACAAATTATTTTTTACATGATGGCGACGTTCAAATCAATGCTCTTCCACGCAACCATCAACAAGTTTTTAAATACATTTAAATATAAACCAAAAAGAAAAGCTTACACTAAAATCAATATGAACCTGAAGAATACACAAATATAATTAGCTATAAAATAACAAATACTTTCCAAAAAAGTATACAAACTAAAACTATCCGTTAATACAAAACTTCAGAAAATACTTTTTCTATTTTGGTGTCATATCGAAGTCTTTTCGACACTAAAAGTAGTTTCGAAAAGAAGCTCTTTGTGACACTCCTTTTTTACTCATCGGAGGTTGGTAACACTGGCTGACTGATGGCCATCGAACTGTCATTCGCGATAAAAAATAATAGAAGATTTCTATATTTGGCATGTATGGTTGCCAACCTAAACATATGAAATCAGGAAATATGAGAATAAAATTTCCAAGAAAAGTTTGTTTTTTTCAATTAAACAATACCAAAATAGAAAAAATAGTATAAAATATTCGTTTCATAAGACATTTTATCGCACTCGCCCTTTAGAAAACTCGCCTCCGGCTCGTTTTCTAATATAGGGCTCGTGCGATAAAATGACGTCTTATGAAACTTGTATTTTAATGTACTATTATAAATAAAAAAACAAAAGAATATGAATGAAATCAGATAATGAATCAATAAAAACACTGTTACACACGCTTTTGCAACACGTAGTCACATAACTTAGATTTGAATGATTGGATACTGGGAGACAACTTGATGACGTCAGGGATACTGTTATAAATGCTTACAGAATTTTAGGAAAATGACCGTCTAAATAGAGCCTGGGGACACTGTAACGAGACGACGATCTCATAATACGGTCATGTATATCATTCCTCTTTGATAATTTTTGAAAGAGATATGAGGGCAGTTCTGTTTGATTAATTTTGTATACCAAACAAGCCATATGTACCTGGAACCGTTCGTCCAAATTTAGCCAATGAGAATCTCTAAAACAGTCTGAAATGTGGTCAAATTTACGCATATTGTATGAAAAACGCATGCAGGCATTTTGAAGTTTTTGTAATGAATATTGTTCTTGTTGACGCAAAGCCGGCCAATAGACCACATTACAATATGTAATAAAAGATAAAATAAGAGAATCGCATAGTCTTAGTTTAATCTCAGTAGTGAGAATATCTTTGTGCATATATAGTAATTTTAGTTTAGAATATGATTTTTGTAGTAAATGACTAACATGACTTGAGAATCGTAAGTTAGTGTCAAAGTATATGCCCAAATTACGACAGCTATTTGTGAAATTAAGATTATTACCATTCAGATTAAGAACAAATAAATCATTCTCCTGCAGAACGTTACTATTTGAAGATTGCTGTAGCTTAAATAGCTATAAAAATCAGAAGTATAAATTAAATACAGCAAAGGTCCCAAGATGCTTCCCTGGGGAACAGCCTTGTTTATCAATGAAAACTCAGAAACATTTCCTTTAAAGGTAACTCTCTGTTTCTTTTCCTTCAAGTAATTTCTAAAGAACAATACTGCTAGATTTGACATACCAAAATAATACAACTTATCACAAAGTAGGTAGTGGTCTAATGTATCAAAGGCCTTACTAAAGTCAAGCAGCACTAAGCAGGTGTTCAAGCCCTTATCAGTTGCTGTAAAAATATCATCTGATACTTTCAAAAGAGCAGTGCAAGTACTATGATGAGGCCTAAACCCCGATTGAACCACTGGTAGGACTTTTTCGCGTAATAAAAATACATTAACTTGTTGAGCGACCACCTTTTCCAACACCTTGGACACTGTGGGCAGTATACTTATGGGCCTGAAATGACCTAGTTCAGTGGGATTCTTGTTTTTGGGAATGGGAATTACATTTGCATGTTTCCATCCCTCCGGAAAAGTGCCTGTAGTAAGGCAAGTATTAACAATGTGAGTTAGATGTTTGGTTAAGTAAGGAAATAGACACATGAGCATTTTTAAGTTGTGATTATCAACACCCTTTGCATTACTTTTTATAGAATTAATAATTTTTAAAATTTCTTCAGTTGTTACTAAATCAAACATAAATTCATTGTTGCAAGGTCCGTTATTATTTTTATAACGATCCAAAATATAGGACTTTTCCTCCGGATCCAACTGAGAGGTATTAGGAACATTATTGATAAAATACTCATTTAAAATATTTAGGTATTTGAGCGTTTTCCAGAACTCTTTCGGGTTTGATCTAAATTTGTACTGCAAATAAGCTCTTTTCTCCATTTTAATAGAGTGATTAACAAAGTTTCTCATCTCTCTATAATGCACCCAGGCCCCCTCCGTTTTGTTCTTTTTATATTTCAGCAAAGCATTATCCCTCAGGTTCATTAACAACCTTAAATTAGCAGTCAGCCATGGGGCTGGCAACTTAGAAATTCGAACAGTTTTAAAGGGTGCAAAAATATTAAAAAAATTGTCAACACTTGTATTCCAAAAACTAACCATATCGTTCACGTCCCCTAAAGTAAATATATCATCCCAATTAATTCTCTGTAGTTGAGCCGAAAATAAATTCAAATCAAACAAAGAAAAATCACGGAAAGTATAAAAAAATGGCTCAACTCTTTCCTTTTTAATTTTCACCAAGCAAGAGACCAAGGAATGGTCTGAAATGCCCTCCATTGGCACTACATTGACATTGATTACAATATCCGCAAGGGAAGTTATTATTACGTCTATCAAGGTACGTGTATTCTCTGTAACGCGAGTAGGCTCATTGACGACCTGGCGCAAATTATATTTTTGAAATAGAGCGTTAACCAACTTAGAGCCATTACTCACCTGAGACATATCAACATTAAGGTCACCCCCAAAAAGTAAAACGTCAAATTCAGGAAGAAAAAAAATTAAGGTATTTTCCAAAGTATCTAAACAGCTATTAAGATTAGCTACAGGAGGCCTATAACAGGTTCCGAGACAAATATTTTTGCCGCCAATTTTAACCGCTATCCACAGGTGTTCAATCAAATTATTATTACATGATGGAGGAGCCAAAAGTTTAAATTTAATGGAATTTCTGACATAAAAGGCTACACCGCCTCCACGACTACCTCGATCACCCCTCACAATTCTGTAACCAGGTATACCTACTCCCTCATCAGGAAATGATACATTAAGCCATGTCTCCGATAAACCCAGTACATCAAGTGACTCCCCAGTCAAAAACTCTGAAAACAGGTCAAATCCAGTGTTGCACGAGCATATGTTTAGATGTGCAAAGGAAAAAAATTCACTTCGCATACACGATTTTCAGTGTGCTAACTCCAGCTGAAATTTAAGAATACGTATATAATTTGATAAAAAAGAAATAGTGTAAGAAGATATATTAATAAATTGAATCAAGAAAGATAAAAGAAAACATTTCTTGTTAATTTTCATCTACCTATTATAAATAATTTGGAAAGTATAGGGTATACCATGCAAAAACTCTCCGGTAATAAATACCATATTTTCACAAAAGAAAGAAAAAATACAATTCCTATAATAAGCTAAAATAGATATTCAACAATGTATAAATACCAACAAAATATTTTTATCATTTTATTGCGTACCCATAGTACAAAAAAGAAGAAAATGTATATATAGCTCTACCAAGTGCATAAATAAGTAAGCAATCCACTAGTTTATTAAAATCTTTTTTTGTTGTTGTTCACTCCATGCAAAAATTTTACCACTCATAGACCAAACATTCTTAGGTCCATGTTTCTTTTTTGCTGATTGAAACAAATCATAGTTGATTTTGGTCAAGTCTTCGTAGATTACCATATTACAGTTCTTGAGACGTTTTTTAGCATTGAAAATATCATCTCTTTTTGAGCTTCTCAGAAACTTAATAAGAACTGCCCGTTCCTTATCGGCATGCTTTCCCACTCGATGAACTTTGTCGAAGTCTTCCGGAACACACAATATGTTTAAGCTATTTTTAAAGATTTCTATCACCTTCCCTATCAAATCTTCATCTTCACTTTCTTTCAGTCCAATTAGCCTTAACGAATTACCTTTCAAACTTTGGTCCACGGAATCATACTTTTCTTCCAGAATCTTAATATTCTTGGCGTTGCTTTGCGTTTTATCATTTACAACCTTCAGAGAATTGCTAATCTTGTCTATTTTCACATCTAGTGAGTTGGTAAGTTGTTCAATTTTCTTATCAATCTTCGCCTCAAGCCTATCAGAAAAATTAGCACATACCTTGTTGATTAGATCTTCTGTAGAGTCTTCTTTTGTGCTTGTGCTTCTA